ATACTAGTAACCTGATGTACATAACTGGGATGTGACATTAAAATAGTTAACATTAACTTGTTTTTGCTTCAGAAATTGTTTAGATTCTGGTTTCATATGTAGTAATGTACTGACTGAAAATTCCTGACTCTTTGAAAAGAATTTATTTATTTCTCCATAGTAAACAAAACCACTTATTTACAAATAATTTCCTTATGAACTGAAAGACTTGTAAGTACGGAGTTACAGAGTATTAGAAAATTTTCTATCCATCAAATGCAAACATTCCCTGGATTCTAAACACCTGATTTTGGAATGCCTGGTACAGGCAACCAATGAATTACACCTGACTTTTCCTATTGCGTTCACATCAGCCACCTGTAGACTATTCTACCCCATGCCTATGTTGTCCTAGACTGAAACCACTGCTTTGTAACCAGTATGCAAATTGCAGAATCCTGAATCTCTTCTACATAAATCCTAGTTCCATTACCTACTTTAGATTAAACTCTGAGTAGCAGAATACTTACATTATAAATGGAAAAAATAATCATTCCACTCTCATAGGGTAGTTGCAAGCATCAGCGAGGTAACAGTTGTTACGTATGACATAACTAACGTTGGCCCAGGGTTATCACCCTTCTCTACTTAAATCTGCTTTTTCATTAGGGACTAATTTTTAATATTAAAATTTTAAATTGTTTTCTGTTTCTAGTCTTCACTTACAACAACGAAAATAGCAATACTACTTCATAAGATTATTTTGTAATTAAATGAAATAACATGAATATTCCTAGTATTCTTTCTGGTACAGAATGTGTGGTTAATAGATGCATAATAAGCATTGTGACCCTGACAGCACCCTGCGCTGTGAGGAAAGGGGAGTTTAAATACATCGCTCCAGTGCTCTTAACCAACATGATACGTTAAACGACTTTTCTAATGCCCTTAATCAACACTACCTGTTTCCTATGCATGACACAACTTGGGCGAAGGTAAATGATTTGCCAAACCACAGGGCTATTAATGAAGCCCTATGTGTCCTCTTTAAAATATGCCATCAAAAACAAAGTTTATGTTACAAAAGGTTTTTTCTACTTTTTCCAAATAAAGAAATGCTATTTCAGTTATCTTCAGGATTTTGAAACTTTTCTATGGATTTGGAAATTTTAAAAATCTCTTAGCAACCTTAGATAAAATGTTGCAAGTACAATAACGTCATTTGGAACTTGTTCCAAATTTCAAATGAATTACTTGCCAGTGAGGTTTTTAGATAGAACTTCTAAGTTGGGAGCTGCCTGGGTCACACTAAAGTTGTATGAACATTCTAAGTGCTATTCAATTGAAATATCTTTTAAAAATATAATATCACCAGTGTTTCCAAGCCTTGCCATGTTAACTTCTCTTTTTAAATATGATTTATCTCCCCACTCTCCTGCCATTTTGAAATTCCTGCTATCAGGATTATTTTTCCAAGGTAATAGTGGCCTGAGTGAAGTAGCCAGTGAAGACTATTTACTTAGTGAGAAAGTCAGTGTTTGCTAAAAAAAACCAGACATGGTTTGCAAAATTTCAGAAATCAAGCAATTAGAGACACCTTCTTAACTAAGCAGTATGGACTCAAATTACTTTTTAGCCTCTCTAAGGATCACTCTTATTCTACTCCAGTATGTGTGACAGCTATCTAGAATGTCTTGAAATGCAGAATTAGTTGGTTTGCACTTTTTGTTATCAACTGCACTTCTAATAGAGGAAAGGAGACTTATGCTTGCCTGTAAATATTTTTTGGGTTTTAGCTTTTTTAAAGACAAAACAAAGTAGACTGTCATGGCATATAATTTCATATTTTATTTAAAAGCATGACTGCCCACCCCAATTACCCCAGTTATCCTTTTATAAAGAACAAATCCTACTTTTATCATGTTTTCCCTATGTCTACTTTACTAAAGTTAGCAAATTAATTTATTGTTTCAATTTTCTTCTAATTGCTTTGGCTGAGTAATATTGGCATATTAGTTTTGCAATTTCTGAACCAACAGCAGCAGGATCACCTGGAAACTTGTTGGAAAAATACATTCTCTGTCCCTCTCTCAGGCCTATTGAATTAGATCCCCTGGGGGTAGGGCCCAAAAAATCTAGCTTAACAAGCGCTCCAGGAGATTCGGATAGAAACCATTTGAAAAACATTGGCATATGGAAAACATGTGCTATTTACTTAATGGACAGAGAGGCAGAGAAATGCAGAGTATACATCAAATAAGAAAGTAACCACTGGTCCAAGTACTTTGAATCTAAACAGATATAGAATAACACAGCCATGAATGAGACTCATGAAGTGGATCTATTCATACACATGTGAACTGTCCCTTTCTGGTTGATCTCCAGGGGTTAATGTTAGTGTAAAACCCACAGTACACTTGCTGTGGGCTGGCATGTGAATTCTTCAGCATGCGGGAAGCTGCAGAGACGGAGTAGGATTGGCCACTGCCTGCTGATCACCTTCTAGGCGGGATACCCTAAGGCAGTCTCTGTGTACATGTTTCTGCCATGTGCCAGGCAGCGGCAAGGGGAAAAAAAGTAACATATAAGTACATTTTATAAATATTTGTATAGAAATATATATTTTTAAAAATCTGCACTTTGGGTAATGTTTCTAAAAGTACCAAAGTAGTCGTTACTAGAAAAAAGTAACATATTTAACCTTCCCTATATTTGTTGCATCGTTTTATATTGCTTTTTAGTTTAATTGCTGGGAATAGTGCACCAAATATAATCTTTCAATGCCCGGAGGTTTTAATCTGTCTCAGGATTCTTATGTATCTCCCAGACACCTAAAATTTAACATGTCACAAATAGAATTCATTGTCTCCCCATGACTGTGCTTCTCCTCCTCCTGAGACTTTAGTCTCAGTTAATGACATCAGTATCCATTTACTCAATCTAGAAATCTGAGAGGTATCCTCTATTCCAGGGACCCAACGCCAGGGGCCACGGACCAACAGGTACCTGTGGCCTGTTAGGAACTAGGCCCCACAGCAGGAAGTAAGAGGCAGATGGGGGAGCAAGTGAACTGGCCCCTGGTGCCAAAAAGTTTGGAGACCACTGCTCCTTCCCCTTTCTTTTCTTCCCATATCAATCTGTCAACCACATTTGTTAACTCTGCCTTCCAAATACCTCCCAAGTCCACTAATTTTGCATAGATCATTATTTCATACTCAGACTTCTACAGCAGCTTCTCACTGGGTTCAGGTAGAGCTATCTTCCACACAACAGCTACAAGTTGTTTTCACCCGATGATGTTATTTCTGTCCCAGTTTAAATTTTCCAATTGGCCATTTGGTTAAAATTCTTACCCTTAGCCCTCACGATCTGTTCCTGATCTGTGTCCTTTCTAGTCACAGACTAACCTTTCTTTCATCCCAACAGCTCTGTGCTTCAGACTTACTCATGACCTGTTTCTAGAACCTGATGTCCTTGCGCCCACCCTCTTGTCTTAACATACTGCTTCCTTTTGCTTTAAATGCTGCAGTGGCTTCCTCTTGCCCCTTCCCCTTCACCCAGTGGCTAACTCCTATTTTTTTCATATCTTCCACATCCTTTTGGCAGTTAAAAGCACCTTTACATAACTCTATCCATAATTATAGCACATTACATTGTGTTAAAGTTATCTGGATCCTGCCATGTAAGATCATTGAAGAAGGGGCTATTTCTTTCATTCTCTTTGAATCTACAATATTTGCCATACATTACATGTATTATTAAATAAAGTTTGAATAAATAAATGAGTAAATGAATGACTACAGCAAAGAGGGAAGCAAAAGTAATGTCTCATTTAAAGGGCAAATTAGAGAAATTTTAGTAGCATTTTCTAGAATAAAAGAAGATAGAGTTAAAAGGTTCATAAACCCCGATGTATATCCATAGCACCCAAATTTTGATGTCCAGGAGTTACCAGATTTAATATAAATGTTCTCATATGTTGAAAGGCATTTTATTTAATACACTTGAAAAAGAAAGCTGTGTCCTAAATTTTAATATAAAATTAGTTTGGTCCTGACCTGTGTGGCTCAGTTGGCTGGTCACCGTTCTGCAAAGCAAAAGGTCATCAGTTCAATTCCCAGTCAGGGCACATGCCTGGATTGTGGGTTTGGTCATCGGGGTTCAGATGAGAGTCAACTGATCAATGTTTCCCTCTCACATCAATTTTTCTCTCTTTCTCTTTCTCCCTCCCTTCCCCTCTATCTAAAAATAAATAAATTTTTAAAAATCTTTAAAATTATTTTGAATGCCCCCATGTTAATTCTTTTGACCTTTTCACATAAATAAATATGTGGGAAATGTCTGTTACTGAATTTTCAATTTGAAATTCAAGGTCAGTTTTCACAAATATAATGATTTTCCATGAATACCACCCATAAATGAATGATTTCTATCTGAAAATAATAACATTATTCACCATTTTTTATTTTCCAATAAATGTTTGTTTTTCAGTGTTTTGAGATTATTCATGAAAACAATAGAAAAAGTATTTTCAGAAATCACCAAAGATTACAAAGCATAACAGTTAAAAATCACCTTAATTGTTTAAAAGAAGTTGGGTTGTTCTAAAATATCATAGGGTGAGAAGTCTGAAGAATCTTACTGATAATTAGTGCTTATATATATAAGAACACACATAATATTGTGGGGGTTTTCCCTCCAGCAATGAGGCTGTTTAATATTGGGTACTGAACTTCGTAGAATAATTCAGAATTTTTTTATCATTGAGATATTCTAGAATAACATGCTGAAAGTGCCTACAGTGTGCCTTGCACATAGTAGGCATTTAATAAATGGCATCTGTCATTTTCACTGAGTGCTCTCTGTGTAATGGCAATTAAGAGCCTCTTTCTAGCCTCTGAACATAACCAAAAACTTACCCCCTCCAAGATGGCTAATTCTTAAACCTCAATTATGCAATCAAAGTCAGATACTCCTTATTCTTTTAGCCACAAGAATACAAAAATATCAGTCGTTTTTTCCCACAGAGCCTCCTCAACAAGCCCAGGAGTGAGATGACAGCAGGGGAGCTGCAGAAGCAGGAGGAGGAGTTTGACACATGCCCACTCTCTGCGCTCACACAGTCGGTGAAAAACAACACCCAGGTGCTCATCAACTGTGGCAACATCATGAAGCTCCTGTGCTGTGTGAAGGCTTTTCACAGGCACTGCAACATGGTGCTAGAGAATGTGAAGGGGATGTGGACCGAAGTCCCCAAAAATGGCAAAGGCAAGAAGAAATCCAAGCCAGTCAACAAGGGCCGCTACATCTCCAAGATGTTCCTGAGAGGGCGTTGGTCATCATGGTCCTGTGGAACCGCTCATCGCTGGCAAGTAGGGGCTTCTTCCCTGCCAGCCAGACTCACTCCCTCATCCTGCAAAGACTTGACCTTTGACATGACAACAATTAAAGTCCTGTGGGGTTTTTTCCCATAAAAAAAAAGAAAATCACAGACAACTTTTAAATTCTCTGCTGGGGTTCTCGCTCCCTTTCTTGTTTGTTGCTAATACATTCTACATTACAGCAGGAGCTTGACATTAAAGATTTGAAAGTCAAGGAGTTCATTTACTCTGTCTCAGATCCACATTTCAAACCAGCCACTTGCATTACCTTTTCTTTTACCCCTGTCTCAACTACCCAGAAAAGCCTTTTAAACAAACCAGTTCATTCCCCCCATCTTTCTTCTTCATCTCATTCCATGAAAGCCATTTTCTAGAAAAGGAGTTTGGAAAGAGGAGGCAGACTCACTGGTCTGAATTAGTCTATGAAGCGATGAGAGAAGGGAGCATAGTTCCTTCCTCAGGCTGCAATGCTGTTCTACTTGTTTATTTGAAAGATTATAATTCCTTCCTTGAACTAGATTCAAACAGAAGTAAAAGAGTATTCATTCCAAAGGCATAGGTAAGTAATTTGGAGTTACATGTATCTATAGATCTCTGATTATTATCTTTTAGTATCTGTTATTGGAAATCAAAACATTTGTTATTAACCTTTTTTTTTTTAATGTTCTCATCTTTAATGCAAGATTAATCCTTGGTAAATATAAAAGATTAAGGCCATAATTCACCAAATCAATTCTCTGATAATAAAAGAGTCAAAGCAATAATATTGACTCTAATACTTGGGTTTCTATACTCAGAAGTCACCAGTCCTCATTATACACTATATGGAAAGATGAAGGGATTTTGAAAAAAACAAAATATTGTCAACATTTACTGATTTTTCAAAACAAACAATTAAGTACTATATTTCTTAAAAGACACTTTTATCTGTAATTTTAATAAATTCCTTTGTGAAGTCTATACATAGTGCTGTGTTCTTTGTTCTCTTCCTTTTACAAAAATTTTTTTAGAATTTTTAAAATTAATTTTAGTGAGAGGAAAGGAGAGAGAGGGAAACACCAATTTGTTTTTCCACAAGAGGCACTAATTGGTTGCCTCTTGTATGTGCCCTGATTTTTTTTGTTGGGGTCAAATACACAACTTCAGCATATTGGGAGAATGCTCTAACCAACTGAGCTACCTGGTGAGAGCTGCTTTTAGAAATTAATTTTTTTCATTTATCAAGCAAGACATTACTTTTCCACGATTTTACAGAAAAAAAAGGATGAGGTTTTTATTCGTCAAAAATTATCTTCTGGGACTATGAGTCAAGATGAGGGTGTAGGCAGACACGGCTCACCTCTTTGCACAACCACATCAAAATTATAACTAAAATATAGAACAACCATCATCCAGAACTATCAGAAATGAAGCTGAATAGAAGTCTGACAACTACAGAATTAAAGAAATAACATCCATCCAGACTGGTATGCAGGGACACAGACACGGGCCAGCCTGGTTCCATACCCATGTGTGGTGGGTAAAAATTCAGGAGGGTTATCTCTTGATTAAGGAGTACTAGACCCACATGAGACCCCCCAGCCCAGGATTCCAGTGACAGGAAGATAAGTCCCCACAACTGCTGGTTGCAAAAACCAGCGGGGATTAAGTCAGCGGAAGAAACTTTCGGAGCCTCAAGCAGTTCCTCTTAAAAAGCCCCACACATGGACTCACCTACTTGAGCTCACTTCTTCGAAGCTCCAGGATCAGGGCAGCAGCTTGAAAAGCACCAGTGGTAAACCGGGAGAGACTGAAATGCCTGACATCAAGGCGATCAGAGGCCTTTGTCTGGTTTCTAAACCCTCCACCCCCAGAACCAGCAAGCTGGTGACATTTCTGAGACTCCATCAACCTGACTAATACTGTTTGACCCACACTGGAGAACCCCAGAGGCTCCATCCCACTCAAGTTACTGACCCACTCAAGCTGCTTTTTCATATGAATGGCTGGTCTTGGCTCATTCTGTACAACTTTCTAAATCCTCTCAAGCAAGCAACAGCTGGCCACAGCAAGCCCCAGGCCCAGCACTAGCAGCAACCAGCCTACATTCATAGCTTGGCTTTGCCTGGGAATCTCTAACCCCAGGACAAGTAGCAGCCATCTCAGATTGCTTTGTATAGCTCAGGCAGGGTGGCCCCCAGCAAAATACAGTTTAGGGCTGACCTTGGCTTTCATCACCTGGGAAACACCAGGGCCTACACACCCAGTGGACAGCTACAGACCATGTTGGAGTACCACCACCCTGCCCCTGAACAGCTGATCCTCCATGGAGGGGGGAAGTTAGTGGTCAGTGGTCATGGTCAGCCCTTGCAGCTGAGTGGCCTGGGTAAATCCCCTCATTGATCTTCCAACAGCTACCAAGGCTCAACTACACGAGGAGGGTATGCTCAGCCCACAAGTAGGGTGAATCTCAAGTACCTGGCTTGGGGGATAGGGGTGGCTGTGCCACTGGACCCTACAGGACACCTACTGTATTAGGCCACACTACCATGACACATAGTCAAAGCAACTCTACCTAGTATATAGAAACAAACACAGAGAGGCTGCCAAAATGAAGAGACAAAGAAACATGGCCCAAATGAAAGAACAGATCAAAACACCAGAAAAAAGAGCTAAATGAAATGGAGATAAGCAATCTATCAGATCCAGAGTTCAAAACACTGGTTATAAGGATATTCAAGGGACTTAGGACCTCAGCAACATAAAAAAGATCAGTCAGAAACAAAGGATACGCTAATTGAAATAAAGAACAATTTATAGGGAAACAATAGTAGAGTGAATGAAGCCAAGAATCAAATCAATGATTTGGAACATAAGGAAGAAAATAACAACCAATCATAACAACAAGAAGAAAAAAATCCAAAAAAATGAGGATAGTATAAGCAACCTCTGGAACAAATTCAAAAGATCCAACATTTGCATCATAGGGGTGCCAGAAGGAGAAGAGAAAGAGCAAGAAACTGGAAATATATTTGAAAAAATAATAAAAAACTTCCCTAATTCGGTAAAGGAAATAAACATGCAAGTCCCGGAAGCACAGAGAATCCCACACAAGATGGATGGCAAGAAACCCACTGAAAGACACATCGTAAGTAAAATGTCAAAGGTAAAAGATAAAGAGGGAATCTTAAAAGCAGCAAGAGAAAAGAAGTTAATTCTACAAGGGAGTTCCCATAAGACCATCAGCTGATTTCTCTAAAGAAACTTTGCAGGCTAGAAGGGATTGGCAAGGCATATTCAAAGTCATGAAAAGCAGAGACTTACATCCAAGATTGCTCTACCCAGCAAAGATATCATTTAAAATCGAAGGGCAGATAAAGAGCTTCCCAAACAAGGAAAAACTAAAGGAGTTCATCATCACCAAACCTTTATTATATGAAATGTTAAAGGGACTTATTTAAGAAAAAGAACATCAAAACTATGAACAATAAAATAGCAAAAATACGTATCTGTCATCAACTGAATCTAAAAAACAAACTAAGCAAACAAGAACAGGCACAGAATCATGGATATGGAGAGTGTTTTGATGGTTACTGGATGGGAAGGGGGTGTGAAGGGTTGGGTGAAAAGGTGAGGGGACTAAGAAGTACAAATATGTAGTTACGGAACAGCCACGGGAATGTAAACTACAGAATAGCAAATGGAGTAGCCAAAGAACGTATTAGAGGCATAACCCATGGGCATGAACAATGGTGGGGGGATTGCCTGAGGGTATTGGGGGTGCTGGGGGAGGGAGGCAAAGAGGGAAAACTCAGGACAACTGTAATAGCATAATCAATAAAATATAATTAAATTATTTTCTGATCATCCTCACATTAGAAAAGATCACCAAATTAGGATTGTTTCCCACTTCACTCTTTCCAGAAGTGTTTTGTTCATTCTTTTTTGTCATGTCAGATGGTACTGGGTTTTTCCTTTCTTTCAGTTTTCTATTATTCTAATTACTGTCCCACCACTTACTTAGTAGTGTTATAGAACGCAAACTATTTGTCGACCCAGAGCTAGCAGAGTGAAGCGCTAGACACCAGGAATGTCAGTGGAGAAAAATTGGCTATTTTACTATGAATGGCATCATCCAGGAGAACATGAAGCGAATGCTCAAAAGCCTGAACTCCCTGATGATGTAATAGGTTACAGATTATATAGGCCAAAATCACAAGACACCGTGGGTTAGGGGTTTGGAGTCGTGCTAGGAGCTGATTGGTCAAGGTGAGGTAAGGGTGAGGAATCCTTTCTTCCAGTCTTGAGAACAGCTCTGAGGTCCTTCCTGGTGTCCCTCTGTTCAGTCTCATGGGAAAGTAGCCAGGGGGCTGGTCCACTTTAGAGCTTAGGAACTGAAACATAACGGGTCTAGATGTTATTTTTAGGCAACCAGAGGTCCAGATCATATGACCACAAGTCAGGTCCAACTATGTCTCCTGATGCCTTGGGGTTTGCTGATTATCCTGGGGAAAGGCTTCGTTTTCCAGGGGTGAGAGAGAAAGGGAGAAAGAGAATGTCAGAGTTAGGATTTAAAACTAAATTTAATCAAAGTCATAAGGACTGTTGGTTTCAGTAGAAGCATTTTTCTTTGGAAACACATATCTGCTTCTTTGTTTGTTTTAGCTTGGAGGTCCATCAGAGAGGACCCACTGCTTAGTCAGCTGCCCATTCCAGGGTTAGATTATGGGAGGAAAGCAGAGCAAGACGGGCAGCAGTTAACTCTTCATGGCCTCGTTCAAGGGCAGAATGTGAATCACAGCAGCACAGCAAAAACTGCGTGGTGGACCCGTTTTTCTACCAAAACAAAACAAAGGCACTTCAGTCTGTGGTATGCCATTTTGCTTTCTGGAAGGAAAAAAACCACACTCTGTGACCAAGGGAGATAGTACCACCCTCTTAAACAGCCACTGTGTTCCTTTGAATCGAATATCACAAGCTTTTGCATAATGTCAGAACACTCTGTAGCAGAGTTACCGGCCTGTGTCATCTATTTGTAATAAGGAACAAAACATAATTTTGAATTGATGTAGAACATTTGATTATCTTAAATTGCAAAGAACACTGACTGCACA